TATAAAGGGGAAAGGTTCTAGCTGATTTCATGAAAAGCTAGGGAAAAGTTCTAGTTTAACCCGTGAAAATCTAGGGAGTTTGTAAAGGTTATCTCTTTGTCCATGAAAAAGAAAGAACAAATTAATGAATTTGTTGGAAAATCCTTGGTGAGGAGCTAAGGTAGTGGATGTAGACTTGGTTGAGAAGTCGAACCACTATAAATCACTATGTAAAATTTCTATGTTTCAATCTCCTTACTCCCTATACACAAAAACCGTTCTGACCCCTCTGTATAAACTATTCTGATTATGGATTTGAGCTTTCGCAAATCCCAACAATTTGTATCAAATCTTGACTCGTTAGAAGGTTTAACATCATTGAGACACTCCTCGAAGAAGCTCTACCGATTCTCGATACAATCGATAAAAAGATGGCTTCAACCTCTGGTGCGTATTACATTGAAGATTCACATATTATGGATTCACAACCTATCAACAAGCCACCCTTCTTCAATGGAGCAAATTATGCACATGGGAAGAATAAGATGATGTTCTTTATTCAAACCTATGATCTAGGAGCTTGGAACTCAATCATGAATGGTTACTACACTCCACTCGAAGAGTTAGATGATTAGGATGATGAGAGTAAAGAAGAGAAGAAAAAGAACCAGCTCAATGCTAAGGTTATGCACATTCTCTTTTTTGCTTTAGGCCCAGATGAATATGGAAGAATTTCATCTTGTTCAAGTGCCAAAGAGATTTGGGATAAGCTTCAAGTCACTCATGAAGGAACCGATGAAGTGAGGGAAACAAAGAAAAGTTTTCTCAACCATAGCTACGAGAACTTCAAGATGAAACCCGATGAAGCCATCAAAGCTATAATGGATAGATTTTCCGTGTTTACCAACGATCTCAGGGGATTTGGAGAAGTAATCCCTAATGAGAAGCTCGTGAGGAAGATGATCTACTCTATTCCAAAGTCGTAGCAATCGAAGAAGACGACTATTATCGAAGCTAGAGATCTAAAGTCTCTCACTCTCGATGAATTGATTGGTTCTCTTTTCACTCATGAGATAGTTTTGAATGAAGAGGAAGAAAATGAAAAGAAGAAGAAGGAGGTAGGAATTGCCTTCAAATTCACTAATGAAAGTTATTAAGATTCAAGTGATGAGGTGGATGAAGATGATGATGAACAAGATGAGATGGTCAAGCTCTTAAAAGAGTTAAAGAGATTCATGATTTCCAAGGAAGTAAAGCATGAATCAACCAAGAAGAAGAGTCCCCCGGTATGCTTTAATTGTCAAAGAACGGGGCATGTCAAGTATGATTGTCCCCTTCTAAGAAAGAAGGGATCATCCAAGAAGAAGGCATATGTGGCGGCTTTGAGAGATGAAGATGAATCCAATGATGATGAAGTAGTCAACCTATACCTAATGGCCACTCATGAAGAATTCTAGGTATCTTCTAACTCAAATGAATTTAATTCATTTACTTTTTATGAGTTACAATATGCTTATAATATATTGTATTTGGGATTTCAGACCATGAATTCCAAATATACGAAATTAATTTCAAAACTCAAAATTAAAGATGAATTGATTTTGAAAGTAAAAGTCGATTTTGAAAATCAAAATGAAATTTTGAAAAATGATTTAGAGCTTTCAAAAATCAAAATAAATTATTTAGAAAAAGAAAATTTTGATTTAAAAGTTAAGCTTGAAAGCTTAACAAAAGAAAAAGAATTAATTTCTAAAGACGACCTATTATGTTTAAAAATGACAAAATGCTCACATTGTCATTTTCATGGTCACAAGGAACATACTTGTCCTTTGAAGAAAGGAAAACATTTTAAAATTAGACAAGTATAGGTTCTGAAGGGAACAAGGGGCATTGAAATTAACGTCCAAGGATCCAAAGCAATTTGGATACCAAAATCGAAATGAATGTCTATTATAGGTTTATGGAAGCAATGGTGATGATATTCAAGATGCTCTACCCACACATGAAAAAGGAATGGGTAACCTCTAAGCTTAATGCTTTTAATTTTGGTTATTTGGTTGTTCAATTGATTTTAATCATGCATGAGCTTTTTGTTTTAAAATGATTATGCATTATTGTTTTAATCTCATGTATGTTAAAAAGGTTTTATGAGAACATTTTAAAGTTTTAATGATTTTTTTAGAATTTTTAGTTCATCATAATAAAATTTTGTCACAATTAGTGTTAATGAAAATGATATCTCTCTAACAATTGATATAAACTTTTCAAATACTTTGATTTTAAATGCAAATGATATCTCTCTAACAATTGATATTAAAATTTTAAATTTTTTGACCTAAACTTAAATGTTTATGCATGTACTTAAAATTGTATTAGATATATCTCTAACAATTGATATCAAATTTTTTCAAATGCATAACATTTTTGAAAAGTTTTTTGCATTTGCACTTAATTTCAAAAATTTATATTGCATAAAGTTTTTTATACTTGGATATATTGAATTTCATGTGCTACTAACATGTTTGTTATTATTTGTTAAAATTCAATTTTCCTTAAGTGTCAAGTTCTTAAAGCTAAATTTTGTTTGAAATGCTTTAATTGAGGGAGAGGTTAACATTTTCATATATTTTCAACAATTGGTAATAATTGGTATCCTTTCGTAATCAATTAATATTTTTTACATTAAACATTATATCAAGGGGAATTTTTGCCAAAAACAATTTTTCAATCTCTTAATGAAAAAGGGGGAGCTTAACATTTTCATATATTTTCAACAATTGATATCCTTTTGTAATCAATTGATATTTTTTACATTAAACATTATATTAAGGGGAATTTTTTCCAAAAACAATTTTTCAAATGTTTTGTTATATAAAAAAGGGGGAGATAGTTGAACTATGTTTTGATATAACAATTTAAGACAAAATGTTTTTGGACTTGAATTGAATTTATTCAAAGGTTTCAAAAATACTTCAAAGTCCATTAAATTTGGATTTGAGCAAAAATATTAAGAGTTACCGATACCCCTATGAATGGGTATCAATACCCCTATGAATGGGTACCGATACCCCTATCAATACCTCTTATGAACGGGTATCAATACCCCTATGAATGGGTATCAATACCCCATGAAGGCTCAAATTACAAAATGTAAAATTGGTATCGATACCCCTTTATAGGTATCAATACCCCAAGGCTCCAACGGCTAGTTCATTTGAATTTAATGAATGGGTATCGATACCCCTATCAATACCCCCTGTTATGGATAACCTTATTTTGCAGAAAAATAATCCCCAAACGGCTCCAAAACATCCATAACGGCTATATATGACTTCAAACTCATTTCAAGCTATAAATACAAGTTGAGGACACTTGAAGAAGTAAGAGAACAACTATCCAAGCAATCAAACACAAGAGAATAGTTTTTCATTCTTATTTCATCTTTCTCTTGTAAATATTTCTGTTCTTGTGAGCTTAATTCTTGTAAACACCTACCTTTGAAAGGTTTGTTTGTTTACTTCTTTTATCCTTTTGTAAAGGGTAAAGGTTCTAGCTGATCCCATGAAAAGCTAGGGAAAGGTTCTAGTTTAACCCGTGAAAAACTAGGGATTTTATAAAGGTTATCTCTTTGTCCTTGAAAAAGAAAGAACAAATTAGTGAATTTATTGGAAAATCCTTGGTGAGGAGCTAAGGTAGTGAATGTAGACTTGGTTGAGAAGTCGAACCACTATAAATCATTATGTAAAATTTCTATCTTTCAATCTCCTTATTCCCTAAACACAAAAACCATTCTGACTCCTCTTTGCAAACCGTTCCAGTTGTTGATTCGAGCTTCTGCAAGTCCTAACAAATATCATTATGGGTATGGACAATAATAAATGTTTAAGACTAATGTGTTATTGATTGATGATACTGAGTTGTCATCGATACAGAGATGTCAAAATCGATACATGAATATATTGTTAGAGAACAATGTATTGGATTGACTCGCCATGAAAATGTCTTAGATTATTATGGGATGGTCACAATATTGCTAATGGTGACAACTATATGTATGATCCTCAGACTTGAGATCATTATTATCTCAACATATATTGGTGTATGTTTTGATACAGTTAAACATGCTACGTAACTGGTTACACTATAAAGATTGATATTGAACATATCTCTATATATGTATAGGGATGTGAATGATTAAGATAGGATGTGTCCTTCCTACATAATAGGAGATATATCACAGGCCACTTGATTGAGTGAGACTAGAAATGCATGGTCATGCTTGAATAAGTTGATATGAGATATCATATATTATTCGTTGATTATAGTGTACTCTAAATATCAAGAAAAAATAGGTGAGCCATACAAGTGTGACTATTCCAAGACTTGTGTCTATCTTATATATAAAGGACAAAATTATGTAATACATAAAAGAGTTAGTCATGAAGATGATATGTCGAATCATAATTTCTTGTAACTTACGTGGCAATGATATATTGCTAGATGACACTCATTGTTTTTAATATTAGAATGATTCTAATAATTACTACTAATGTTACAAGAACCTATAAGGTCACACCCTAGGGTTGAAATAAGCACAGATTTTATTGTACAATAATTAAATAATATAATTAGAATTAATATATGTATATTTGATATACATATAAATTAATTATCCCAAATATAATATGTAAACATTAAAAGAACATAATTTAAATTACAACTCTTTCAATGAATATTTAATTTGAAATTAATTAAATAAGATTTTAATTAATTCAAAATTATAAATCTTCGAGGTTAGGGTAACTTGTGTATAAAAGGATAAGTAAGGGTATAGTAGCCGTTTCTATCTTTTAGCCGACTTTCTCAAAATTGTTTTGAAAAAGGTTTTTGTGGAGGCTTGAGATTTGAACAGTTCATGATCACTATTACCGTTGCTGCAATCTTGTTGTTTTTTAAAGAAACCAATGTAATAATATGTATTCCTTCCTCCCAGTTTTGGTTTTATCGTACATAGATTGCTAATGAGACCATCGAGTTTGTTTTCACTACGCCATGGGGTACACCAATGGTCCCAACATCATGACCTAGAGTTGGTCGCAGTGGTCTTTGCTTTGAAGATTTGGAGGCATTATCTCTTTAGGGAAAAGTGCTACATTTTCACTGACTACAAGATCCTCAAGTACCTGCTTACCAAGAATGAGTTGAATCTGAGACATCATCGTTGGGTCGAATTGCTTAAGGATTATGAATGTGTCATAGACTATCACCCCAAAAAAGCTAATATAGTGGTTGATTCTTTGAGTCATAACTCGATGACCGACCTCCGATCATTGTTAGCTAGGATAAGTTTGACTTTAAATAGAGGTTTAGTTGCAGAACTCTGGGTTGAATCGGAGTTAGTTAGGGAACTGAAAGAGCTACAAGCGACAAACGAACGATTAATGGCTAAGGCAGAGCGAGTCCGTCGAGGCAAGATTTTGGAGTTTGATTTGAAAGATAGGGACGTGTTGTATTTTTTAAATCGACTTTGTGTGTCAGCTAATACGAAATTGAAGGCTAGGATACTTGGTGAAGCCCATTATAGTCCACTTTCTGTGCACCTCCGAGGTGACAAGATGTACAAACAACGAGTAAAATCGAAACATCAGGTTCCCTCCGGTTTACTTTAGCCAATCCAAATGCCTCAATGGAAATGGGATAGGGTAACTATAGATTTCATTAAGGAGTTACTGAGAACTTGACAGAAGCACAATTTCGTTTGGGTAGTGGTAAACCAATTGACCAAATCTGCCCATTTTTACCAGTGCGAATGGATTTCACTTTGGAAAGGTAAGCGTGGATCTACATCAAAGAGATTGTGAGACTTCACAGGGTACGCTTGTCAATTAGTTTTAATATGGACTCACGGTTTACTTAGAGGTTTTAGAAGGCATTGCACAAGGCCTTGGGGACTAAGTTACATTTTAGCACTACCTTAACCTACAGACGGATGAACAATCAAAGAGGGTTATATAGATCCTTGAGGATATGCTACGATGTTGTTTCATTGATTTTGTGGGTAGTTGGGAGGATCACCTTCCATTGGTCGAGTTCGCCTACTATAGCAGTTACCAAACCAGAATTCATATGGCACCATACTAGGTGTCGTATAGGAGAAAGTGTAGGACTACTTTGTATTGGAACGAACTTAATGAAAGGAAGTTGGTTGGTCCAAAATTGATTCAAGAGTTAGAAGATAATGTACGGATGATTCAGGGTAAATTTAAGAAAGCTTTTGACAGACAAAAGTCATATACATATCTAAAATGGAAGGCATCGAATTTAGTATAGGCAACAAGGTATTCCTTAAGGTGTCACCTTAGAGAAAGGTTCTTGATTTGGCTAAAAAAGGAAGAAGACTTCTCTCTTTATTGGGCCTTATTATATTCTCGAGAGAATAGGTCCTACAGTTTACCAACTAGTTTTACCGCCTGGGATGGAGTGCATTCATAATGTGTTCCATGTATCCATGCTTGGGAGTTACTGATCAGATTCGTTATATGTGATTCCATTGTAGCGGATTGAAGTGATCCCAGATATGTCCTTTGTCAAGGAACCGATAAAGATCTTGGCTCATTAGGCCAAGGAACTTGGAACACCAATATCCCATATACCTTTCTGTATACAAAATACAGATGTAATATCACTTTAAAATTGTTTACTCATTTGAATACCCTTTAAAACTTTGTTTCAAACTTAATTCCACCTGAGTTAACACAATAAGTAAGTATTCATTGAAAACACATTACAAAATATTTTGTTAAATTTAATTACATGCCAGATAAATTTTCAAAATGATCATTATTGTCCTAGTGTTACTAATGAGTCAACCTTAATGGATGATATCTGCTGCTACAGCTGCACTCCTTACTTGATTAGTCTCCGCTTTTACCTATGCGTGAAAACAACATACATTAAGTATTTACTTAGTGGGACATTATATTGTAAAGTAACCTTTGTGTATACATAAATATGCCATATTATTTAGTTCACACCGCATTATATATTTCTTAAGGATTTTATATCCTTCTCAGTTAAGTTGTATTCTATTCACAATTATCATAATCATTTCTAGTATGCCTAGCATACCTATCTGTCATTATTCCTTATTTTCATTAATAACATTTATTCATGCTTATAATGCACCGTTATGCATTTTCAACTATAGTATCCTTTCATACAAATAAAACTCATTCACAATATCATTTTTATACATGAAATAAAAACATATTAACTAATGTACAACATACATTAAAATTAAAATTAAAATTAAAATTAAAATTAAAATATTCTAGCTTGACTCATTACGAGTCGTCTTGATCTCAATTGCATACAATAAATGTACTCACCTGGTCATCCCCGCTAATAAAATGTAGAGACGTATGGCTAATCAGCAACTTTATCTTTCCCTCTTTTCTTTCTAGATTCTGGAGCTTGGTTATGATCTTATGCTACAAAGAAGAGCAATACCAACGTGAATAAGAAGAAGAAGAAGAGTAGGAAATACTTTACTTTCCTCTTTTCTTCTATTTAAAATCCCTAATATATTTTTAAATTTATTTTTCCTCTTAAAAGACCAAAGTGACCTCTTAACTTATCTATTGATACAAATTAGTCTAAACACTATTCCAAATCATTTTTCTCATCTTTTACCACTTATTCAATTAAATCTTAAATTTTCAAATCTTTTCGATATAGTCTCTGATCTGATATTTGGGGTATTACATAATTGAGAAACAAAACCATTCCATTAGTTAAGGTATTATAGAGGAATCATGGAGTGGAAGAAACAACACGGGAAACTGAAAAGGACATGCAACTAGAGTACCCATATTTATTTGAATCAAGTAAATTTCGAGGATGAAATTCTTTTTAGGATGGTAGAGTTGTAACATGACAAAAACTAGGTTAGTAGTTTCAGGTGTTATTGTTGGTCTTCGAGTACTTGGGTAAGATTAATTTAAGTCAATTGGGTCAAGGAAGAAGGTCTTGAGCTTGTAAGAAGCCCACAAAGTGTTAAAAATGAAATTTTTATTTGTACATAAAAGAGGATGGACCAAGGGAGTAATATGACCATTATTTGAAAATAAGGCTCAAAATCAATTAAGATTGATGATGTATACGGGAAAAAGACTGAAAAATCTTCTCTCATTTTTTCTCATGTATTGCCTTCTTATCCTCCTTCACCATTGCTTCTTCTTCCTTTATTAAACTTCAAAGGTGGAAGCTTTAGTGTCTTGCAAAGCTTTGTTTGGAGTTGGAAGGTAAGAAAAACTACCCCTTCCCCTAGAGCTCCATTTCTAACTAAAAATCACAAGGTTTGGCTATGGTGGAAAAATTTAGGTTTTAGAGAGGTTTTGGTTATAAGGCTTGGAAACAATTCTGAGTTGATCCTAAGTATTTAGAAATGTGTTCTTAACCTTTTTTAGGCTTAAATCGATATTGTAATCTCCTTGTTTACTTTGGATAGTGCAAGAACGAGAAGAGTGTTCAAAGGCTAAGGGCAAGGATAAATTGGTGTTTGGGTGATCCTTAGAGTCTTCTTCCACCATCTAGAGCTAAGGTAACACATAAATAACCCTTCTCTACCATATGTAGGTCATAAATCTTCTTTGCTTGCTTGTCGAGTTTTAAATGTTTTGAAATGGGTTTTAATGGTAGCATACATAATTAATGTTTTTGGTTATGTTTTAATGGCTCATTCTGATGTTAACAAATCTAAAAAGACTTAACAAATGCTTGGTAGCCTTTAAGGGACTTATGAAGGGCCTTAAGAAGTAAATTTCATACCTAAACAGAGCACACAGGTCTATCAGTATCAGTACTGTAAGAATAATATAGATATTGTTCTTCTTGTAAGGAAAATAAGGCAAATTTTGAGGGAGAGTATCAATGCCCCTTCTAGAGGTATCGATACTAAAGGGGAGAGTATCGATACTGGGGACACTTTGAGGATTCTATAATACAATTTTGGTACCGATACTCATGGGAGTATCGATACCATAGGGAGAGTATCGATACTCTCCACCAGAGTATCTATACTGGAATTTAATTGAAACGTCGAAGCGAAATTTGGTATTGATACTAAGGCCAGTATCGATACCCTAAGGCCAGTTTCGATATTGACAGGCTCAGTATCAGTACTGACGAACTGTTTTGGGTATAAAACTTTGCTAACTTTGTAAGCTTAAAAAGAGGATTTATGGGGGCATCGAGGGCTCTTAAATAAGACTACAAGTGAGTAAATTAATCGAAACCCTTATAAACAATGACACTAAATCATGTGGCATAAAACTTGTCTTTGTTTGACACTCGAGAAATGATGAGGACACCCGGGTTACTTGAGTGTATGTATGCACTATTCGAATATGTAAGTAGAGATATCCAAATTCTCTTTCCAGTGTCATGACACTTTTGTATCAGTGCGGATGACACTTTTGTATCAGTGCGGATGCACTTTTGTATCAATGCTGAGGCACTTTAGTATTAATGCCAAGGCACTTCTATTATTAAATGGCAAGCCTATATTATGATCCTTATGATGCTTTGTTACACATTCTTATGCTATGACCTATGCTTGATGCATTTCGCTGCAACATGAATTAACTTGCTAAGCATTTGAAGATAATGGATGCATATAGTATAGTGGAGTCGTTTATGTGGCATTGATCTTGTAGCTCAATATTCGGAGGTTATCGCCAGTCAGTCGTATTCCATATACCAATAGCAGCAAAGTATGACTTGATCATTTAGTGGACATGTATTTTCATATACCCTTTTGTATTTGAGTTATAACTCTTTGATTACTGTATTTTCAGAATTTATTTATGAGCTCCCACGTTTTGTAAACTTAACTTTTTATACTTATTTGCTTAAATGCAATGGATTATATTTTAACAAATGAAATGTTTTCAAAAAATGGGATAACCACTCCGGTGGTCGACCCTAATTTTATATGTATGGGTTGATCGTCAAAATGTGGAATGTCGACCCTGGCTCCTTACTCCAACTGTTTTGCTTTACCTACGTGTGAAACAATCACGCACTAAGCTTTCACTTAGTGAGACAATCAAGTAAAATAAGTAACATATAAAATAAACATCTTAGTATAAAAACAACATTATTAAAATAAAACATGTATAAAATAGAAACAAATTTCAACATTCCTTACGTATGCTAGTAATCTGTAATGAAACAGTTTATCTATAAAATATTATAATTAAAATTAAAATTTGAAATAAGAACTTTACTTTGAAACATGTATCAAATTTGTACTATTCTATGTAAATTCATATCATTGTCTGTTGTATTATCATGAGAATATATGGTACGTAAGTCACACATTTAGTGCCCTGTAATTGCACCATAAGTGCCTTGTAAATGTACATGTACTATAGAACACAATAACATTGTACCTATAATCTCGAATACATAAATGTATTCGATAATTATACTATACAAGAATGTACTTTTGTATGATCGATCAATAACACTCCACCTCATGGCATGACAATTGTACCATTAACTCTCAAGTCACATACAACATGTTTTTTATCAAAATCATATGCTATTTCATACATAAAAACATCAATATCGAATATCAAAGTATCGTAAAAGTTTATGCATTGGG